TACAAACTTTAAATCACATATATCAATGTAAATAAGTTCTAAAGGTGTTGTGCTTCGTTAACTGAGTAAAACGGTGTTTTGGCTAACTTAAGCTCTACACATATTTCGCTTTTCCCATTATTAAAATGTATACTAGGTAATAAACTTAAATTCGTTAACTTGCGTATAAAATTGAAGTTTACATGTCCTAATCTATGATGCTATAAATTAGACAACTCAAGAATATAGGCAAAAGAAGATATTTTATTCCTTGGGTTATTTAGTATAATAGTAAGGGCATTCATCTTGAATAGTCCATCTTTTACATAGCCTTTGCCTACACACATATTATTTTTTGTAAATATACTTATCATATACAAAGACCAGCTTAAAGCCATTCTTGCTTAATAGAGAACTTGATACTGAATTCTTGCGAATATCCGGCACATGAAGAACATTGTTGAGGTTAAATTCCTTGACTGATGTCATCTTTAAGATTACTTTGCCTTGTCCTTCTACTTTTGAACTTGATGGATTTTTCTTTGACAACTTCTCACCCTCGGCTGGAGTATAGAAAGAGAACATTCATTTATCGGCACATATGTGATGGGTAGCTCCCTATCCACCCACTACTCCATGGGATTTTTAACATTGTTGCATTATGAAATAATGGCTGACAAATTATATTTGATATACCATCAGATATAGCATCAGATTCAGTGATATTTTTCTTGGTTCGCTTCTTAGGTTTGCAACAATCGATAGAGCGAGTTCGGCCTTTCCATAGTTATAGCAACTGTCCTTGAATTTCTTTGCATTCTTTTCAGAAGTTTCTATGGAATGTTTTCTTTCCTTGCTCTTGTTATTTGACTCCACCCCATTGGCCTTAGGCATATGGCATCCAACACATTTGTTCGGAGTTCTATTATCTTCTTCAATTCTCAATTGAATGATGAGATCTCATTTATTCATCTCATTGCGCTTGTGTTTGAGATAATTCTTGAGGTCCTTTCATATGGATAAAAGTTTCTTGATAATTATAGTCACTTGAAATTATTTATTTAGAGACATATTCTCTACGTGAATGTTTTTGAGAATCCCAAGTAATTCTTGTACTTGACTGATGACCGTCTTTGAATCTACCATTTTGTAGTCCAAAAATTTATCCATGTTGAACTTTTCGCTTCAACGTCTTCAGTTTTGTATTTCTTTTCTAAAGATTTCCATAGTTCTTTGGCAGATTTCTTGGAGCTGTATGTGTTATATAGCGCATTATCCAACCCATTCAATATGTAGCTCTCACATAAGAAATTTGAATGTTTTCAAGCATCCAATGCTATTAGTGTGCCCTGTTATTTTCCCTTCTTGCACAACGGGATCATCTTCATTTTAGAATATTGCCAGGTTTAAGTCGTGAGATAGAACAACAGTTTCTGCTGCCATCACTTAAACTCAACTCCAATAAATTTATCCGATTTCTCTCCATGTGGAATGGAGTTTGTATGAATGGTGGGAGGGGCAACCGCAACACAAGGGATCGTACCGGTAGGAACAATTCCTTTTGAAGTTCCCATATTCAATGTATCATTGGAAGTAGAATTGGTATTGAAAACCGTATTCATTTTTGTTTAAATAAAGTAGAAGATTAACCACAAATCAAATCCTAGATGGATAGAATATCTTAAATCGAAGTGAAATCAGCTTAACCGAGTAGGATAAAGTAATCACTCTAAAAATTGACTAAAGATGTTTGGAAAAATAATAGAGAGATGACTTCAAAAACTGAAAACAAACTTACTTACCTTACCAAAATTGAATAGAATACTGGCAAGGGAAGAAGGAAAAAATAACGCCAGATGAAATAGATGTAAAGTCGAGGCAAAAGTTGAACTCTTTATCCTTAAGTCAATTTTGTCCCACAATTGTGCCTAGGATGATGGAAATCAGCTCTCAAGATACAACGACTATCCTCTTGTGTTAGTAGCACTCCAAAACACAAGATCAACGAACCAAAATCGGATTTTGTACTCCTTTTTGAATGAATAAAAGAAAACCAGAATTTATGCTGAATTTTGGTAGAGAAAGAGGAAATTAATGTTATGCTATGATTGCATATCGTCAGGATGAAGAAATGGACGTCCCTAAGGTCCTGCTTATAAAGGGGAGAGGTTGTAAGTGAAGAGACTCAACCCAAACTCAGCAACCTTTGCTATGAGTTGCGGCTTTTGCTGTCGCTCGCTAATTACCTTTGCCTATCTCGAGCGTTAAAAATAGTGAGGAGGTCGTTTGCCTGTTGCTAGCTTGTCACTCTAGCGATAGCCTCACAGTCACTGCTCGAGCGCCAAGCTATCACTAGGCGAGCGGTGGAGTTGGTTGAATTCTAGCCAATTGTTTCTCTCTTTCTTTCCAACTTTGGATTGGAATTTCTCATTCATCCCAAATTGGTTTTGAGATTTCAAATATACCATGACGATTTACTCTACAAGTAGAATAAGTTAGTCTATTTACATTAATAATTTGACTATCCGATCAAGTCTAAATATCTGGCCGAAATTGACACGAAAGTCACTTTTTCATGTTTATACTTAACCAATTCCAAAACAATGGTCATTGGTTTCATTTCACATCCAAGTTTCCAACATAAACTGAAATTCTGTCAAGTTAATTGCGTTACACTCTTCACTATGTATCAGAAATCACAGCTAACTTGATTGTCAAAGTGAAACATTTTTTCAACTTGTGACACAAACTAATGCTTGCAGCTTGCATTTGAGAAAATGTTTCTTAGCCATATTATTGCTTCCATCAAAAAAAATATTAGTTTGTTTGGTGTGACTCCAAATGAAACTCATATCTAATGGATTGAAAAGAGAAGAATGCTATAACTTAGCAAGATAGCATAAAAAAGATTAGCTAACAGAAGATGCTATTTATGAAGCATAACTCAGTGAAGGCTAAGGCAGAAATATAAAAAAGAAGCAAGCTATACTAGATAATTTGCACTAGACTTCTACGATATTTGGAGCTTCGGGATATGGGAAATATGATCCAATATTGGTCTTCAGTTTCCTTCTTGTATTTCTGCTGCATGATTGGACAATTCTGGATACCCAACTTCCTTATTGGTGTCATTTTAAAGAGAGGATCCGGTAGTGCCTTCAGATTGCTGCAATTGTAAAGTTTCAAAAAGTGGAGTTTAGGCATGACCTTGATGTCTGCAGTTCTGATCATGTTCCATTCTTCCCAACTTCCCATGTCTGAAATTTTCAGTTTCTTCAACTTTGGGAATGCAATATATTCTTCTGATGATAATGCCAATGATCTGTCTTTGCTGTCTGCTGTGATTTGATCGTTCACATTGTCTGTTGCACCCAAAAATTCGAGCCCAGGAGATTTAATGCAGACCATCTATGTGGAGAGTTACCAGGGACGGAAGCCTTGCAAGAGGAGACAAAATTGTGCAATTTTGGCACTCTTGAAGCGAAAGATCTTTCAGATTGGTTAAACTTACCATCCAATTTGGGAATCGAGTGCCTTCATATGAACTTACTACTAAAGATTGCAACCCGGGATGCAACTGAAGAGCTTAAATCACTTCGTCTTGGTTGCTTGCTTGAGCCTTAGAGTTGAAGTCGAGGTGCAAGTCAGAAATATGTTTCTTTTCACTCAACTCTGCTATCCGGGCCTCATTAGCATTTGTCACGCAACTCAATCCTTCAATTTTAAGACATCCTCGGAGATTCTTCATTATTTCAAATCCTCTAGTCCACATGTCGCTGCTTCACCACCAATACCACGAACACTGACCAATTTGCTCAAAGTCTGAAGTGAGCTCAAGTTGCCAATCCCTTTTGGTAATGTCTTAAGACTATCAGTGCAATTTATCTAAAGGTACCTCAAATTTACTAATTTTCCCATTTCTTGAGGCAACTTTCTGAGATTGTCACAGGCAGAAAGGTTCAAGGTTTGTAATTTTGGAAGTTCACGCAACCTGTTACGACTTAAATCTAACGCCTTGAGACATGCCAAGCGATTGCATAAATCTGGCTCAATCTTGTCCAATTCACTTATAATTGGAGGCGTATCAAAGAAAGATTGAACCCAAAACTGTTGGGCGCGAAAGCTCCAATAACACACGTTGATTCCAAACTGGATTGTAGAGAACGAAATTTTAAAGACAATATTGAAGTAAACAAGATCACACGACGAAACAAGGTTTAAATTGTAAAGAAGAACAAATGAATTAACACAGAGGAACGATGTTTATTGAATCAATAATATGGAGAATACAAAGCATTCTTGCGATTGGCTTCTATCTGTTACCTCTAATAAAACTGACAAAGAAGCCTTGTATTTATAGGTCAACCCTAAAAGAGTCCTAAAAGAAAGAAAATATATTACAATTAGGAGGCCCAATTTCTAAAGGATTTTGTTTCCTTTTGTTGGATGCCATTAGATTCTCTTTCCAAGCAAAAGTCTAACACGCATCTTCAAAAGACTCCTAACCAATTTTCAGGATTTCACTTAATCAAATTCTAAATCAACAATAATCCTAACACATTTGAGTTACCAAACCTAACAAAAACGAATGTAGTTTTCCTGCATTAGCAATGGAAGTAGGAAAGCGGACGTCTTTTGCACGTACCAGGGTCAAATGACGAGTCGTTTTATAAGACGATCCCAAATTTACTGCAAACTCCCCATCAACCTCCACCACAGAACATTCTCTCTTCGTAAGATATTGCGCAAAATCATGAACCATGCCGTGCATCTTAAATTTTAGAATCCTTTTACAGTCCTTGTCCTTTTCTATGTCTTGGAAGAAAGACCCCATAGCCAAATTTTGCAAGTATTCCTCACCTAATACTTCCATTTCTACATTTTTCACAGGGCAGAGATAGCCTTGCGCCATCCAGAGTTTGATCAAATTGTTTGCATTGATGACGTGATCTCTTGGAAAAAAAGCACAAAAAGAAAAGCACCTTTTCAAAAGCACAAAAAGAAAAGCACCTTTTCATTGTCTAGGGAAAATCGAAGTCGCTCAACATCGAAGGACGAAAGAGAACTTTCTCTGCTCCTTCAAATTCCCAGAATTCACTATTCAGAACATTCTGCCAATCTTGTAAAGAATTCTTGAACCGCATATGAGTGCCAATAGTCTTTACATTAAGAGGTATGCCCCGGCACTTGTCAGCTATTTTCCTACCAATTCCTTCCAATCCTTCGCAATCCTCTTTACTTCTTTCGAAAAACGCTGTTTGACTGAATAGCAACCAACTGTCCTCGTCTGTCAACTGCTCCAAATGAAGCACGTGGCTACTTCTCAACATTTTTGCGATTCTCTCATTTCTCGTCGTCACTAGAATTTTACTTCCAGCTGCACCAAATTTGAGAGAGTTGAACAATTGTTCCCATTTCCTGTAGTCATATGTCCACACATCATCCAGCACAAGCAGGAACTTCTTTCCTGAAATAGCATTCCTAAGACGGCGCAATAGAGTTTCAAGTTCACATAAATGCGGAGCATTACCTTCAAGGTCTTCAACAATTGCCTTTGCAACTCGAACTTCATCAAAAGGCTCAGAAACACATACCCACATTCTTATCTCAAAATCTTGCTCTACAGAAGCACAATTGTAGACCATTTGTGCTATAGTTGTTTTACCAATTCCTTCCATGCCGATTACAGAAACAACATGGAATCCATGACTTTGGCTACTCTCAGACAACAACTTGCTTACAAGAGTGTTCTTATCCACATCTCGACCTCGTACTTCAGATACATCAATGTAAGAGTTAGTTTTTAGCCTCCCAGTATCACCACTCTCCATTGACGTATTAAAACTGTACCTATCTTTCTCGGTGGCAATAATATCGAGTCTTTCATTAATGTCCTTAATCTTGAGGGCTATGTCACGACGTAGGACAACTCGTCTATATCCAAGGCAAGGTAAAGAGATAAAAGAACATACCTTTTTCTTGGAAAGGGATGAATCTTCAACACCTTCAGTTTTCAACTTGCGGATTGCAGTTAGCCATTCAGACAACACACCGTTGATGTCATATGCTATGTCTTTGAGCCTTTCTAACCACAATTTGACTGATTCATCCTTCACTTTTCTCTTTTCAGCATCAACAAGCACAGATCGGATGGATTCCAATACGCTGGTGAGTTTTTCGATATCCTTTGTGACCCCCACAACTAATCTCACCTTCTGTCGGATCTTTTCTCTCGTGATTTCAGCCAATTGTGTTAAGATTACAGTTATAATTGCTTCAGCCATGGTTGAAGATGACAACAGATTGAATAAAAAGCAAGTGAAATTGACTCGGGAGACTAGACAAACAGGTATGGATTTCTTTTCACTTAAATGAAAACTGAGACATGAGAGATTTGTTTTTTGGTGCTAAAAATTCAACCATTGATTTTCCAGGTAAGAGATTGGAAATTTCCATGTGCGTGCCAAAGGAAGACTAAGAAGTAGGAAGACTCCCATTATCGCGTTTTGTTTGGTTGCTTCAAGTGATTGATGTATAATTTACAAGATTTGAGCTTTTCCGGTACTTTTAGCCCCTGTTTGATTCCCATTACTTGGTAATGAAAATGAGCAGAATAGTATTTTTTTGAAAAATAAGTGGTTGAAAAAGAGAGAAATTTTTTTGATTTACGTGTAATATTATTTTATGGAAGATTGTATGGTTGAAAATAGGAGAGAGAAAAATAGAATGTAATGTAATGTAATGTAATGGGGGCCAAACGGGGGCAAATTGTCATATTCAAACGTGTTACTGCACAACCAAACCTTGAAGTATAATGTGAAATCATAGATAGACGAGTAAAAAGTTTCAACAATCACTGAACTTAGTATAATAATGTCACGTTGTGGTCACTGAACTTCCGTTTGCTGCTCAACGGTCACTGAACTTACAAACACACCACTCCATCCATCACTCACCTCAAAGCCATTTGAAATTGTGTGATCTGGCCCTGACGGAATTCCATGTGGCATTCAACGGCGTCAAAAGTGATACACGATGGACATGTTTAAGATTACACGACCCTAACCCATTCAAAATTGAAAACCAATTTCCCTAATTCACTCTCCCATGAACCCTAATTCAATCTCCCCCAATTCAAAATCCTGGATCGAACATAGAGTCACTTGCCAGAAGTTCTTCGCCTTCCAATGTACACCATCCCCAGCTGCAGATGATTATCAACCAATAAAATCTGAACCCACGTCCCGTTACCTAAATGTTGAAAACTCGAAGAAGGAAACCAGAGGAGCCCAACCAACTGCGAACGGTGAAGGTAATCTCTTAAATTCTTATTTACTGGTATGAAGAATATGTAATTGACACTGTTGAATGACCGAATTTTTGTTCAAATTTGCTGACTGCACAAAATCAAAGAGAGTTGTAAGATTTTCCTTCGTTCAAATTGTTTCAATAATTTCTCATTGAAAGCACTTTGAATTTTCAATTTTGAACTTGGGTTCATCACTTTGAATTTTCAATTTTAAACCTGGGTTCATCCTGTGAGCATTTTTGAAATTGGACATTGTTTAATTTTGTTTCAGGAGGCATCCCGTAAGCATTAATTCTTGTTACAGAATGCTCAAAATGATATGGTGGTCATTGTTTAATTTTGTTGGAGGAGGCTGAAAATGAACTGATGGTCGTAGTTGTGATAGGAAATTATTGAATTAGCGTTGCGGATGATATTAGTTTGATGATTATCAGCATTATTAGTAAAAGTATTATGGTTACAAAATTAAAATGTCTTGTTAAATTGTGTTCTTGAATGGTGAGAAATTTTTATGCAGATTAGGATATTATGTGGTGTCGAACATGATGATTCGAAGAGGCTGGTTTTTGTATCAAAATCAATAAAAGATGTGGTAAGATTTTGTAGTCCTAAAGATTTTGATTTTAATCATTTTTTCTTCCCCCTCCCCCTCGCCCTCCCCTTGGGGATTTACTTGAGTATAAATATTAATTTGGATTCTTTTTTTAATAGACTCTGATTGCAAAGCAGTGGCAATTTGCATAGAGGAAAACTATTGGGTTCCAGAATGTGGAGGATTTGGGTGAGTTCAATGACATTGAGGCATGGACGAAGCAACAAAGAGTTTCCAAACTTAGCTTATAAAAGAAATCTACCAAGTGATCACATTACGTTGTATTAAGCTTCATGTTGCATTTCAATTCCAAGTAATCAGGCAAAAACAAGGGATATGGAATCAAGGAAGCTTATGAAAGATATATGCAGGCACTGTGGGGAGAAGTTGTTGGGGTCTCGTATTGAGGCACGAACAATATACTGTCCAATGTGTGGTGCTACTACAATACTTCAAATACCACAGCAGCTGGTCACTCTTCCCGCACATGGACGGGCGTTACCTACAAGGGACATCGATACTGATGAAGATCGTGAAAAAGGGTGTTAATGTTTTTGTGGATAAGGGTGTTGATAACTTTGTAGTGTCAAAGTAATGTAAATGTATTTTTTATGGTGTTTTCAGATGTCAAACAACTGAAGTTTTTCGGCGAACACTCACTTTGAATGCTGATTTGTTTTTTCCATTGACTAAGTTCCTTTTTTGTGGCTTCTGTTTTGATTTTGTTGTGCTTGCAAAGACTTGTTTGATTTGAGATTGAACATAATTATGTGAAGTTGTGCATGAACGTCTCCTTGATGAAATCTTAATTGAAGTTGAACGAGTTTCTGTTGTATTTGTATAGCAAAGAAATCTCATTCCATAACATCCATTAATAATAATAAAATGTTGTGCTGGAGTCCTGCACCGTCTTTAACTTGTAATCTCTTATTGTCCTGCCATATCAGGCTCAAGAAAAAGCAACTGAAAGAGTTAGGGCTGGCCTCATTACAAAAAATTAAGATAACTAAAGGCGAAAGAAGTGTAGACGAAAACACAAGAAGAACAAGAATTGGAGGAAATTCATCTTCTCGAAAACACAAAAATAAATATATAACATCATTAGAAACAATTCCACTATGTGCACAAATGGACGACACAATCTTTCCTTTCAAAGACACCATAAGATCATTAGAAACATTTCAACATATATAAAAGCTTCATTACAAGCAAAGTGGACTAAAACAAATGGCAATCAACATACAACAAGCTTGCATGCTTGATCTATTTCTAGCGTCTCGAGCTGCTAGTCTTCCGTTAGATCCACACTTACACCTTCACCTTCGGCAGTTAGAGTAAAAGCTTTGATGTTATCCATGTTGTTAGTCAATAGTTGTCTACCGTAACTTCCATATTCCAACACCAACTCCCTATCCGAAGGATCCATCTGAAAAAAAAACAGAACATGAGTTTTCAAGTACGTTAATCAATCTGTATACCAAGTATCTTACAGCTAACAATAGTATTATGGAGGAATTTTCATGATAGCCTATAATGTACACAATTAACCCACATAGCTTTCTTCCACCTCAGAATTGAAGTTGAGCTAAGAAAAGATACCCACTTCTCATTAGTCATTACACAGCACAAATGCAAACACATTTCTCAACTTTAATTGTATAAAATACATCAACTTCGTCTTTCTTATTTGATATCTTGAAAATATCATCAAATTTTGTAATAACATGTTCATAATCCCCATCAACTTTAACACCCCCATCATTTCAATCAAATTAAATTCCAATACTAAATGCAGAATTATGGGGAAAAAAATTATTGACAGCCACGATTACATTAGTACTAAACAAATATGATAGTTAACCTAGCTAGAATTATGAATTTTTCAATGCAGTAAATTACATTCAAAACATGGGTTGGAGGTTGCCCTAAATCTCATTCAAAAGTTAATGTATTACACAAAGCTGTTACTGGATTTCGTTGCTTGAGCAGCAAAAAAAAAAAATTTCATGCTGCTTTTGGATTTTTGTACATTTCTGAAATGTAAAGGAAGATCGAAAAACAATAAATACATTAGGGCTACAAACTAAGAAATTGTTCATTCTCAAACCAGGTATGAAACCATTATTACCTTTTGAAAACCTTCACCTACCGTCAGTTTGGTGTTGCTATGAGGGTGAAGATGAAGAAACGACCTGCGCCGGTGTTGCTGTGAAGGCAAAAAAGATCTGCCAATTTTGCCAGATGTTAAAGAATCGATTTGGGGGAGGATTTAGAAGAAAATCAATCTAGGGCTGGGTGTTCAAATTAGGGATGAGAGATCGTGGATTGGGAAATGGTGAAGGATCATGTTTTGGTTGTGAAATTGTGTCCACCGTGGTCGAGTTTGACGCTGTCGACAGCCACTTCACCTGCCGTCAAGCCACGTGAGATGGGTTCAAATGGCTGGGGCAGTGGGTGATGGATGGAGTGGTGTGTTTGTAAGTTCAGTGACCATTGAGCAGCAAACGGAAGTTCAGTGACCACAACATGACATTATACTAAGTTTAGTGATTGTTGAAACTTTTTACTCTAGATAGACAGAGATAGTAAAAGAATAATGCTACTTTGCCATAAAATAAGTGACAAATATAATGACATAATAGGTGTTAACATCTATCTAATTATTCATTTATACGATCTATTTGAAATTCAAGTCTAGGAAGTGCAAACGATCATCCTGATCCACAAAAACAGGTTGCTACACCTATACTCGACCAATTTTACCTCCTATTTCTATGGACCAATTTTACCTCCTAATTATCTAGGACTTCCTCTGTTCAACAAATTTTACCTCCTATTTCTATGGACCAATTTTACCTCCTAATTATCTAGGACTTCCTCTGTTCAACAAATTTTACCTCCTATTTCTATGGACCAATTTTACCTCCTAATTATCTAGGACTTCCTCTGTTCAACAAATTTTACCTCCTATTTCTATGGACCAACCTATGGACCCTTTACCACAAGCTATTTTGAATAGCAAGATAAATAAGGGAGGTGAAGAAATCTTGGTTCACTGGCAAAATCTTTCTCCAGCAGATGCTATGTAGGAAGACGTGGAATTTTCTAAGCCTCGATCTCCTTATTTCATCCTTGATGACAAGGATGTTTTTATGGAGGATGGAGTTGTTAGAAGCAAAATTGGCAAGACAGCACATTCATAGGGATTGCAACATGGACGTATGGCAAGGTACCAAGTATACAAGGATTGCAAGGCTGAGGTGGATTGCAATCCTGGTTTCCAGTTAAGGCTTATCAAATAAAGATTTAAATAATAATGGAAGAACTTATTTTGCGCATCAATTATGTAATTCCTTCCTTTAATAATTGTAAACCATACGGCTATTTAAAGTCAAGACTATTATCAATAAAATCATCAAAAGAAGTATTTTCATCTCAACCTTGTGTTGAATTAAGGAGGACCAAGGCACCTTGAATTGCCTAAACAAGGAGGATAGGATCCCTCGAAGTATCCAAGATATTTCATATTACTATTCAAGATTAGGAAGTTTGCGGAGAACTGATTCGGGATCCTTTCCAGTCAACAAGTATCAAATTAAATATGTTATTAAGCGACAGAACATTTAACAACTATCTGATTATTCATATATACAATCTATTTGAAATTCAAGTTTAGGAAGTCTAGACGATCATCCTGCTCTGTAGAACATAGCACCATAAGATCAGACGTACCTGCAACTTGCACCATGAGATCAGATGCACCCGCTTTTCGTCCGACATTCAGTGCACCACCCTCCGAACAGTACTTTTCACCAAAGCAGGCTCCTTCACGCAGGCGAGACCCCTCTCCAACGAGCGAGCCAGACATCGCAGACTACTATGATCCGGAAGTGTTTCAGACCAGACGCATGACCCGATCGATGTCTATGTACTACCACCCGAAAATTTACCCTCGGGAATACCCTTGAGTACATTTCATTAGTTTTTGTTCGTGTCTTGTTTATTGTGATTGCATTTTATCTTCAGATATTTGTTACAATTTACATTTGCTGGAGGTCAGGTCTATACCCCCCTCCTATATTTGTTTTCCCGCTTTTCATTATATAAAATAAACCACACTAGTGGTATTTGCTTAAAAAAAAAAAATCCTGCTCCGTAAGAAAAGGTTGCTATACATGCACTCAACAACAGAGAAAGTCTAGGACTTCAAGCTTGCCAATACCTTCTCTTAAACAATAATTTCATTATTTGAAAACAGATTCTTTGAGACCAAGGCCTCGAGATCCTCGATTGAATGCTTTATATTTATTTTTTGAAAGTATTTCTTGTGTATTTCCCTATGCTTCTGAACATTTCTTGTATGCTGGAATCAACTTGTCAACCATGGACGCACGAAGTTTATTCAGGAGCTCTAAATCATGTACTATCCAATTTTGTGTGAAGTGTATGAATCTCTTCAAACATGGAATTAATGGCCTTCAATCTTTTTCTCAATGCACGTTTTGACACCTGAGTAGAAAAGCACCAAGTAAATAAAGTCCCTCTTCTCGACAACAAGACAAGAACTTGTCACAAGTTGAAACCTGATAGCTGGTCATTGCTTGCTTAACATTCCTATTCAGTTTCTCCATATAATCATCACCAATAATCTCGCGTAGCTCCTTAGATTCTTCGATCTTTTCTAAAATGTAATGAGCATTGTTCATCATGAACAAATGCCTTAAAGGGACATGATTGAGCTTCTTCGACTTCCCCTTCAAATTCACTTGAACAACACAATGATCAAAATCAAATGAAGAGCCAAATGACTTCTGCCTTTAAGATCCCCCAATTCTCCTTCTGGAATCAGTTGATCCCCAAATTTCAATGGTGGCACTAATATAATCAAGCTGGTGAGGAGCTACTTCTTGCATACAATGAGAGAGATATAATTCATCACACAGTTCGTCAAAGGATGAATGGCACCCCTATCATCTTGTATCGTTGAAAGCTCATGAAAAACAGCTTTCTCAAAATCCAATAACATCCTTCTTATATTATTCTCAGGTTGAGACACTTTCACCTTCACGCCTTTTCGAACACCCTTTGCTGTGTCGAAGTCAAACATGGTATCAATGTATTGTAAAAGAATCAGCAGTGTATCATATAGGCCTAAAATTGTTCCCATCCTCTCTAAGGACTGATTACTGCAACTCACTATTTCTATAAAAACAAGTAAATTATTTGTAGATTCTCCAACTATTTCCCAAAAACATTCTTCATGATTATACCCAGAGTGCAATGCGGCAGTTGTAGTATAGCTTCGGAGTATCGTATCCACTAGGATACAGGAAAATAGTCCAAAGGTTTAAAAGCTAGGATTTTGTTGTGATTTATTATAAATGTAACGTGTCAATTGAAATAGAATTTAAATAAAAATGTATAAGTTAAGGACATTTATATAAATGTGTGAAGCAGTGAAGCGTCGAGATTTTCTCGATTAGATTGGATCAATCAACATTAATTTTGCATGAAGATACTCAATTAAAGGTTTTTTCATCATAACACTGTAACTGGAAGATTTACACATTCAAACCCTTATTTAATTCTTTAAAAGTCAAGACTTCCAAATCTAGATTTCTTGCACAATATAATTCCATAATTGTTTATTGAAATTATATCCAAAATCGATCATATACCTCAAGTATATGATAGTAAAAGATCACCACCAACAAACGGTTTGAAATTGAAAATCAATATATACTTCAATCATTCGATGAAAAAAACTTGATTGAACTCATGAAAATATAATATGAATTAATCCAATCTCAAACATGCCCAACAAACATAAGAAATCTAATTCCAAAATTTTTAACAATGAAAAAACAAATTACATGCAAGAAAGAACGTTGAAAAAAATCAAATCTAATCGAGTTCCTTCGTGGCTTCACCAATTAATTTAGTTTTCCATGGATTTCTTGAGCCAAATTTGAGAGAAAATTGTTGTGAAGGTGAAGAAGAGGTGTGTTCTCTCCAGTCTAGAGCTTAAAACCATAGCCAAGTTGTTTCCAAAAGAGATTGAACCGAATAAAAAAACTAAACTTTCGACTAGAATATTCTGTGCAACTACTTTCAGTATTTTGACTATAACTTTCTCTTCTGATGTCCAATTAAGGCAATTCAAAGTGCATTGGAAAGCTAACACAAAGAGCTACAATATTACTAGCAATATCCTTTTCCAAATTTTGACGTTTACTAGGTCAAAAGTGGACTTCATTCTCCAGCTGAAAATTTGAAAGATCTTTATGCGGTTGGAATTTGATTTGTGAATATGTTATGATCATATTTAACTTCTTTTGACTTCTAATTGCACCCAGTGGACTCCTAGGTTTCTTGAATCATCATTCTATTGTTCGTTTCATCTTTAAATTATTTGCAACTTGATCCCTAAACTTTCACTTTCTTCCATTTTTGTCATTTTTCGCTCTTTTCTTCTAAATTTCACATTTTCTACCAAAATGTAACCTGAATTAAAGTATAAATATAATGAGTGCATTTTGGCATCAAATAATCACACTAATGCAATAATTAAGAGAAGAAAATATTATATTTTACACTCTTATCACACCCCCAACTTACTTATTGCTAGTCTCTAGCTATTCAATGCAGAACAAGTAAGCGAATGATTAGACTATGATACAAGTGAAATTATTAAGTATCAATTTAACCACATATCATGTCCCTTTCAAACTCAACACCATAAGAAATTAACAACGTTATGATCATCAAGATATTGAAAACACATTCCAAATGTATGAGTGTGTGTCAAGCCATAACTATCTTACCGCCAACCCTAACACATGCAACAATAAGTATGCCTCAAGCTGAAAGTTCATCCCCATAACTCACGGGTATCAAAGTGTTTAGTGCGGGTTTTTCTCTATAGAGCTGAGAAAGGGTATACATACATAACTTGGAGGCTTAAATATTTATGAATAAGCAACAAACAAACATTGATCTTGTGATAGGCATACTTCCAAATGAGAATTCATCCACTTCTTACCACAACCATACTTGGGATCAAATCAGTCAATGTAAAGGGTTGTAATGCAGTTTGAGTTAAGTTATATGAAAGGATGGATATAATGATTCAAAAACTTCCAAATACATAGGCAAGTGTAGCATGAAGCTTCTCAATGGATCACATCAACACATTCTTTATTACTTTCAACCCCCAAAATCAATTAAAAAAAAATTTCTTTTTTTTTCTTTTTTGTTTTTGTTTTTGTTTTTGTTTTTGTTTTTTTTTTTTTTTTTTTTTTTTTTTTTTTTTTTTTTTTGTTTTTTGTTTTTAACTCATTCAACCACTAACATTAACTAATGCCATCAGCCGTTCCATTTATGAAAATAATGTCCAATTCGACTTAGGACTTACAAATGTTAGATTAGAAATGAAAAATATGGATTAAGGAAAATTTACAAAATTGTAGTGGACTTTAGTTATTATCTTTCATTGTGATCATTTGTTTAAGGAAA